TGTTTTACCGCAGGAATTCCTGCGGGGAGTCAGTCATCGATTGCATGAATTGTAGTGATTATGAGACAAAAGGCAAACCAGTGTTCGCAGTGATGGCAGACAGGCCTCGACTACTGGTGACATCGATTTGTCAATGAGAACCTCATTCACTAAAAAAACTCTATTCTATGCTATATTTTTTATGTCATATCATATGTGCTCCAGAAGTGAATCCTCTCTTTTGAGAAGCCGTGCCTCGAGTTTAGGCAACGAATTACTGGATGTTATGAGTAGTGCTTATTCAGTGAATAGAGAGCGTAAGAATGTAATGGCAGAGCACTAGTACTCAGTAGACCTAAAAGTATTTATAAGCAAAACCATCAATAATTTCGTTTTCCGTCCGCTCCTCATCTCCTCATCCATCACTTGTGCTCCATTTGTAGCCCAACTCTAACTCTCTTTTCTTTTCTTTAATAATATGGAGGAGAAAAGTGATGCAGAAGTGAGCCCTTAGTTGTCATAGAAACTCAATATAACAAAATAAAACAACATTCAATCCAATTGTATTACAACTTCAAACACAGTCTTCACAATTCAAATCTACTCTAAAAAACATCGCATACTTTGAAAAAACAAACAATTTGTGAAACCTTTTGAGAAAACATTCTAACAATTTATTGCTTATTAAATAATAAATAATTCGTTGCATTAAACATATTATCTAACAGTATAAATACAAACAATTTCATAAATACATTTCACCATTTATACAACAATTTTTACCTAAATGTGTAATTAAAATATATTACACAATATGTTATTGCTATTCATTCAAACATATTGTAATCCCATTTATTTACATTCGATTACCGCCAGAATATTCTGTATTTAATATAAAAATCACTGCAAATAAGGCATGAATGGATCAAAATAAATGATTCGTTACATTGAAATGAGAGAAACTAATAGTCATTTTTGCCCAAAAAAAATTAAAACCAATTTAAATAAATTCAAGTTATTATTTTTTTCGTATATAAGAGTCGTAAAAGCCATTTGTGATGCAATGAAAGCGCAAACATTTTATCAAAAGGGATATCGATTTTTCAATTTTGAAAATTTTCTCATTTTATTGATATTTTGTTCAAAGCTTTGCGTAACTTAACTATGAATAGAGAGTTTGTTGTAAAAAAAACTTCATGTTTTTTATTTTCCATAAACCCATATAAACGTAAAACAGGGCTTTTATACACCGTTTTCATTACCAACACATGAAAAATTAATATAAAACACCCCATAATTGCATTAAAATAAAAACAATTAACTCTATTTAATATTTATTTTGGACTAATGTGAGATAAAAATAACAATTACTACATTGTATAATGTCTATTATATGTTTTTAATGGTATTGTATTATGTATTAAACGCTTATTATTAAAACATTGAATTAATTTTGAGTCAACAAAACAAACAAAAAAGACATAAGACTTTAAAATAATTCATTCGGAAAGCATTTTCAGTTCATTATATAAAGATTATGTATAATTAGATTTGTCTCATCACACAATCACAACAGATTAGGTCTCCCAAAGTATTCCGTGAATATAAAATGACATCAAATTATTATTTTAATGCTATCTTTTCAACAATTATTAGACTATTAACGCGTAAACTATTGGTTGTATTTATAGACAATATTTTAATCAATCAATTATTAATCTAATGCTAATTCTAATCGAGTCAATGGAAAGCTTTCATTCATATGAACGTAATTTTAATGTTTGTCTCAATGGTATTATTCTTACATAATTTACCATAAAATGTATATTAATTTTATTATTCAAAATTTTGCATAAAATTCAACGACAAATAACAAAACACTTGGCAATTGTAATAAGCATTTTCTCATTAATTAACAATTAAACGCAAACTATTAAAACAGAACTAATGAATATATAAATACTGTATTATTAAATAATTAATGGCAATATTGTGTTCATTGAATGCATTATATCATTGATTATAATTTAATAAGTGAAATAAATATAGAGAAAACAGCAAAAAGCAAGTAAACAATTCTAGTAATTCTATAAATTAACAATAATAACTGACCAAGGTACTAAAAGTACCATATTAATCCACATATGGATCTTCTGGATTAATAGATCAATAGCTCAATGAGTTAGAGAAGATACTTACTGTATCTCAATTCTATTTCACTTTCATCAAACAATACAGTAGAGTAGATTATAATGACATGTAATTTGGGCAACAGATTAAACAAATGAACAATAGTTAAGGGGTGGACGAACGTACTATGTGAATCACCCCTAATAATAAATTCTGCTATAAATTCATGTGAAATGTGATAAAATAGCTTCAATAGATGTAACACATGATTAAATCATACATGTATTAGTTATGTATATGTATGGCTTATGTAAATAATAAAAAGTAATTCTTAAGACATAATATAGTGCTTAATAGGATTTTTCTGAAGAGAATTTTGATGATTAGTTAACAAAATCAATATTTTTTAGTTTTCACGATTAATAGATACTTCACTTAAAATAAATTAATGATACTTAAATGGACAAAGTAACCAATGGTGTTTAGATTTCTAATTGGACCAATATGGTAAATACTTAATCAAGAAATAATAGTGGAAAATATTAAGCTCGTCGTATAAAAATCAATCGAAATATATGTGAAATGCATTTTAAAATTAAAAATTTTATAAATTCCTTTGAAAAGAATAAGTATTTTAAAAATATATTTCTAAATGCATTCAAATTAAAATTCTTTAAATGTTTGTCGGATTGTGTTTATGACACAAAATAAAACTAAAATGACTTCACATTACATAACAAATGAGTATAATCTGGAGTCTGAATGAAAAACTCAATAAAAACAAACGGAATATAAAAAACCAACTCAAATGTTGAACTAATAAAACTATGCGATCCTTTTAAAGTCATTTCCGCTATTTATGAGCTCACAATATAAACATTTTTTCGTTCATTTATTCCCTAAATCTCAACACAACGCGTGAAATGTAATAAATTCTGAATCCGAAAGCAATTTATATATAAATTAAAAACTATTTTCGCAAATCTCAACATTCATTCAAAATAATAAAATTGAGTTTTTAGAAAACCACACGGTTTTCATCGTCATGTATTAATTCAATTAAATCTCATAACAGTAATTAACCGCTAATTATAACGAGTAAACGCTTTATAACAATGTTGTTGCGTAACAATAGATACAGTAAATAATGTAATGTAATTAAAAGTAGGGGGAGGTGTGTGTGTGGGTCGGGGCTATAGATAGCCAGTTGACCAGAATTGGCACATATTTGGCCACAATTTCACCAATCGGTTCCATATCTCCGAGATATACAATAACAGCAAAAATAACAAAAACTTTATTTAATTGTTTACAATACAACAGCAAAATATTTATCGCCGGACGACTCGTACGTCTAATAACGTGTCACTAATTAGTGAATCAGTGTTTGAGTAAAGAATAGCTTCTCCTAATGATTATAACATATAAAAAGTTGGTATCAATTAAATAGTAGAAACATTTGAGCGTTAATTGAGCGAAGAGAGTCATAACAAATGTTTTATTATTAGTGAGCGCTGAGTATATCATAATATATAATAGTTATAAAGATATTATTTTCACTGCAAATGTGAAGTACAGCCGACTCCGAGAATTCCTATATATTTTTGTGGCAAACATTTCGTACATTTATACTAACGTTGCGCTTAAATCGATAAATTGATTACAAACGGCGCTTACGATTCACGTCTCACACTATGTTTTTTTTGGTTCCTATTTTTTGGCTCATATTTTCCCAAACATTTGACCGAATGTTTCAAAAATATATAACAATTTATTTTAACTTTACATTCAGTATAGCATTCAATCAATATTGTAGACCATATGTGACAAATCAAGTGCACAACAAATTAATAACAAATGATTAGACGAGTTAAGACTAGAAGAGATTAATTCCGTAAACCTATTAAACACTAAACTGTATATAAATTGTGTTTTCTCTTATAAATCAAAGTCAATCAATGACTTAATATAATATAAATTTAATGCAAAGTTTGCAACAAAAACACACCATTCAATACAAAGTGTATTTGTTGTGACATTTATTAGAAAACATTATAAGAGTAGCGATCAATTGAATCAAGTATTTAAAAGCAAACAAATGTATTGTTATAATTATATTACAGAATATATGACTGCAATATAGAGAAAGATGTGAAAAGAGAGCATAATTTTAAAAGAAATATTGTTTCAGAGATATAATGGTTAGGAATGGTAGGGAAGGGCTGGCAATGAGAGAGTGAGTGTAACACAAGTAAATGACTTACTTTATGATTAGTTTGTTGTGGTTTATGTGCTTTGATTGATGTCTTTTTATTAACTGTTAAAATAGTTGACAACGAATCCAATGACTGGCTCTTTGAAGGATTCAGTCTATTATTATTATTATTGTTTGACTTTTGTTCATCTTTATTGTCAACATTTTTATTATTATTCTTTTTGTTATTATTATTATTATTGCTATTATTTTCATTTTGTTTCACTTTTTTCGAGCATTTTGTAAGTTTAGAGTTAGTATTGGAGTTGGAGTTAGACTCCGACGACTCCTCCACTCTATTCACACAACTCTTGTCCTCTACTTTATTATCATTATTATTATTATTAGTGCTCTTAATGTGTTTGAATCCACTCTTTGAATGTTTATTTGCACTCAATTTAGAGCCTTTGCTATCATTTGACTTATTATAACATTTCAATTGTGATGACAGAGAAGAAGGGGATGAAGAACTGGACGACACCTTCGATGATATGGATGTGTCTTCTATTGTTTGCTTTTCCTTTTGTTTCTTTGTTTGACTGCTTTTGCCATTAATTGTAATCTATTAATCAAATCAAGAAAACGACTCTTATTTATATGAAATTACAAATCAATTTAATCACTAAATGAATAACAATTAGCCATCAAAGAGGACCTGATATGAACTCAAATCAAATTAACTTTGTGTAAATGGCTATAAGAGTGCAGCTAAACGTCTACAGACAAAGTTTGTGCCGATTCTACACTACTATCGAGTTTACAATGACTTTCAATACGACTACTACTCAACTGTGAGAAGCAAATGAAAAGTTAAGAAATTGTAATGTTTTTCAATTACCGGTTAAAGAGATGGCAAGAGATAAGTGACAAAACATATTGTGAGGCATTGTTTTGAGTGAATAATTTGTTTATCATTATTGAAAATGCATATCATATGGTGGTAGAGGTATAGCCAAAGAAATGGGTTTATATAATACTGCAAACCAAACCAAACCTAATGTCAATGGCATGAGTGCATTGCTCTGGCAATTGGTTTGACTCACTTAACTAACCAATACAACCCATTGCCGACATTAAGCCATTCACTACACTATACGCTATACACTGTATACTAATCTGTAATCATATACACTATAAATACATATTTACCAGACATTTGTCTACATTTCACGGATCAGTTGGTCATCAATAAAAGCAAACGTAAATAGTATTTATAAAACGATAAGTAAATCATATATCGATACGATTTGCTATATATTGTGTATATATAGACAATATGCTAGCATTTGAAGTGTATTTAAATACTTTCAAATCTAATAAACACTTTCGCCATAACATAGATATGCGACAAATGTTATGAATATCAAGTGATTATGACATAAGACATGAATACATACCTCAATGTCGTCAAAGGTCTTGAAGCTTAATATAGCGAATCCATCGATGATGTCTTCGTCATACAATGTATTAGTTTTAATGATTTTCACTTTATTTTTCCTTTTGCCATCACTTTTGGGACATTTACTATCCTTTGTCTCAGCGATCGTTGTCTTGTTTTTAGTAGCTTTTGGTGACTGAGATATTGTCTTATTTACTGTGGCGTGTCTTTGACTGTTCGCACAGCCATTGTTTGGACTATCACTCGAGTGGCTATACTTTGCAGTCTTAGCACTAGGTTTTACTTTAATTGTCTTCAGATCACAACTAGTATTAGCACTACTCGTGGCGTTAGAGCCACTCGAAGGCGATGTCTTCGGACCGACACACCAGTGCTTCGGATCTTTAGCTCCGATTGTCTTTGATTTATGTTTAGGACAGCTATCACTCACACCACTCGTCGACAGGCCATCACCTGATGATTTGGGCGATGGCTTACAAGATGTGGTGCCACCACTAGTGTTGGAACCGATGCCAGTCTTCGGTGACTTAGATATGGCGGCAGTAATGCTCTTCTTCTGTTTGGCCTTCTCTTTGAAAAACTTAAACTCTTTGACCACAAGAGAAGAGTTCTTCGCATTTGTATCTAAACTCGTTTCACGGTTTGAAAGACTTTTATTGTTGTCCAACAAATCGTTGAGACTTTTGTTATTAGAGATGACATCCTTAGCGGACTTCAAGTGGTGATTGTCTTTGCTTTTGATCAGCTTATGATTGGACGTCGAGCTCGAGATGTCTTTGTTTTTCTTGTTATTGCATTTTGTGGTCAATTCGTTGTTCCCATTGTTGTTGTTCTTGGCGTGAATCGAGTTCTTCTTGGGTTTGCTGTCTCTGTCTCTCTCCTTCTCCTTCAGAGTCTGTGTCTTAGACTTGTTCTGATGTTTCTCTTTGGAAGCGTTGATGTGATGTCCATCACAACACTTATGGCTCTTTAAACACTTATTACTGCAGTTGTGGTGATTATTATTGCATTTCTTATACTTCTTCTTCTTGTTCTGATGGTCTGATCGATTGTGATCTGCATTTGGATCCGATTGGGTCTCCATTAAAGACAGACCCAACACATCCAAACATTACACAACAGGCCCTCCACTTCAGGTGATGGTCATCACCACCAATGGTCACCACAACTCACACACAGTCCACCACTCAGTCATCCTATTGACAGACAGACAGTGAGACAATCGGTGGTCGACTTCGAGGCCAGAGTTGACGACAGGAGAGGACACGAGTAGTACCGCAACCGTCGGAACCACTAATCAATCAATTATTGAAAATATGATCAAAAAGTTATTATTATTTCAATAGACAGTCAATCAGTGATTCACACAAACACTGCATTCAATGCATTCAACACTCAATGCATTCATGAATTCACTCAATACTCGTAAGCACTCAATACACTCACAGCTATGGCGGAGACGGAGTCAACACTATAGCCAATACAGACACACAAATTACGTACTCAGCGCTCACCCGCACCACCGATGCTCACAGTGTGCTCACACCAGACCCTCAAACACCCCACAAACCCCACCCCCGCCTCCCTTTTGCCTAACCCTCGCGAGTGGACAGTTGTGGCCACGTTTGGGCCCAAAGGACGGGGCAATGGCTGGTCGGGTGTCCGTCGGCTCCCTATGTCTTGTGGGAAGTTCGTGGAGGAGTTGGTGGTTGTGGTGAGGATTGGGGGCACAGTTTGCAGTGCTGTGCGTATTGTATAGTTTTATAGACCGGTTCACCGCTTATATGAACTCTAAGGGCTAGAAGTGGTTCACAATTAAGGGATGCTTTGAGTGGAGAAAAGGCAGCGAAAAATGGGACATAAATTTAACACTTTTTTCCTCGCATTTGGCGTTTTATCGCAGAGAAAGAGGCTATGAATTGGACGACAAGTATTAGACAATATGTTTGGCTCTCATTGAGAACTCATTAGAATATAGGAATTGAATGCAATGCTAGGCATATGCTATACAATGTATGATATGATAGTAGCAGTGAATGTAGGTATGGATAGGAGAATCGTATGGATAGTATGGATAGAGCAGTGCATTGAATGCATTGTATGTGTTATGTGTTAAGTATTGGTGTTATTTGATGTGTATATTCTGTGTCTCTCACAGTCTGAACACAACTATGTTTTCTGTAGGTTTAGGCGAAGAAATGCTGGTAAAGCCTGGCATTCCTGCAAAGGGTCATCAGCCTTGCCATCGCAGCCCTACTATACCACTACTACACCACTGCTATACCCGCTGTATACCAGTCCAACACAAGCCTCAACACAATCTCGCAGTGTGTGTGAGTGAAGTGAAGGCCGTTTTGGGCACAAATATCCTTCTTCTTGCGCTCACTTCCAAGAGTTACATAAAAAGGTCCCCAAAATGGCCCACAATTTGCAGACTTATGTAATTTAATGCACAAAAAACAAAGCAAATGAATGGCATAACTGTTTTCAGCGATACATTTGTGACAATATTTTTTATCATTTAATGCCAGAGATATGAAAACAACTTTTCCTTTCATTTCTGTGTAACATATTTGCCAAATAAGTTAAGTTACCGGAAGTTATCGTTTTGTAATACATTGTTATTTATATGTTTTGGGAGCACTAATAGCCCTATATATAAGGGCTTAACATTTTTGACCACAATTCTACTCCTCTTTTCTTTTTATCTCTCTTTGGCGTAACATTTCATCCTTTCAAACATCCTCTCAGTCTTTATATCATTGTTATAGAAATTAATTTCATTTTCAATGAATGAAAAGTGAGAATGAATTTTACATTTTGATTGACGACAGCCGTGTTGTGTGGGAGAGGAACGGAAAGAAAGAAAGAAAGAAAGAGAGAGAGAGAGAGAGAGAGAGAGAGAGAGAGAGAGAGAGAGAGAGAGAGAGCAGACGTTTTTATATAAAAATTATATAAGAAATAAATTGGAAACGTTTTTTCATTGAAGTCGACTATTTATACCGATTTGAAGGCTAAACAGAAAAAAGGTATTAAAATAGTTAAATGACAAGAAGAAGAAGAGTGGAGAGAATTCTCGCCAGTGTTTGGCTTGTATTGCATATCACCTGCACTTCTGCTCACAAATTCTTCCACTAATTCTTAGCCGTATTTGTGCTGTCATTTCACAAGACATATCATTTCTGTCTCTCCTTACTATCCCTTTCCCTTCCACACCATTACATGTTTACCACANGAGAGAGAGTGAGAGAGAGAGAGAGAGAGAGAGCTCCTGTTTATCACTACTTAAAAAATATTAGTGAAATGTAATTCAAATCAAATAACACTCTTATGTCTAATCAGTGAAAGCAGTTGTTATCAAAAGAATGTTTGAGAATAATTGACTCTTACTTTACACAACAATAGCGTAACTGAAGGTATATTGTATTGCATTACTAATATTGCCGTTAATTGAATGCAATCACAATAATAGCAACAAAATTATTTAATACACCATTATTTAAGTATATAATAAAGTGTCGTCTAATGAAAGAAATGAACAATCATTTCAGACGGAAGAAAGCACTAAACGATAACATTTTATTCAATCAAAGTTCATATGAATAGAAATATACTAAAAGTTACAAACAATTTTAATGTTAATACAGCAAACTATTTATAGTTTATGGTATTTTTGAATATTCTTGTAATTTTTAAAAATTTTACTTGATCACTTTTTTGAATAGATTAATTTTCTTAACTAAAAATATTCTAATTTTACCAAATAGAATGTAGAATGGTGCTTCCTAGCAATACTTCTTTTGAAAGCATAAGTGCTGTCTAATAATGTGATGCTTTATTGATTCGTGAGTGAAAAGTAATGTGTAAATCTCTCTCTCTCTCTCTCTCTCTCTCTCTCTCTCTCTCTCCACTAATTTGCTTACTCTTTTTGTCTTAACAAAAATTTGTTAAATTTTTATTTGAATAAAACCACAAAATTAATGCTTTAAAATATTATAATAAAATTGTGTACAAAATTATTATCATTACATTTGCATAACAACTACAGTAAATATTATTTATTTACATTTTTTGAAATGTTGGAATTTGACGTATTAAAAATATTTACTATATTAAGTTAAAACCATTGTGATAATGTATCGTTGATACAGTATCGATTTATTAATACAATTATGAATTATTCAATAAGGTATTTAATATTATATTATTATATTTATCGTTAGTATAAAATACATTATCACATTCATTTAATTTGCATCACATTGTATGATGCTAAATTTTTTAAGAATATCTTGAAATTTCTAGAATTTCATTAAATACATGTTTAGCAAATAGTTTACCAATATTTATAATCTGTTATCATATAAACATTTAACAAATACTTTCCTACTAACTTGCAAGATTTAGCTACATTTTATTAGACAATTTCCAATCAATTAATGATATTTAAAAATTAAACTACTTATAGATTTACAAATTTAAAGTATTACAGAATAATATAATTTGTATTTTAAATTATAGAATATACAAATAATTTTAAACTTAAATGAAATAAATGTTATCATTTTTATCAAATTGGTATTTTTTAATTAAATTATTTATTTAAAAGTACTATAACTTATTAATAGTAAGTTATTATAAGTAATTTTTGACACATTCCTTATGGATATCATAATATATTGATAAAATTATATTAATTCAGTGTATTATCACAAATCAAATAAATGTTAATAATTGGTACTGTCGTGTGTATTAATTATTAATTTTATTGGTTATAACCGTAAAGACTATTCAATAATTAATGTATTTTTATCTATAGACAACAAACACAGTATCTATTTTGATGTATGACTTGAATGACTTTAGTTTTCATTTATAAATTATATTCACAACGAATTATAAAAATAATTAAATTAAATTAAATTAATATATTACTCGGAATATATGCGAGCCAACAATAATCCGATTATACAGTTCAGCATTGAATGCACTGTAAGTAATGATAATTTGTTTCAATTTAATCCATATTAACGATATTTAAAGGAATTTTTAAAATGTTTAAATTTGTTATTTACTGTATAGTTTAAAAATTATTAATTGTACACTAATTATGTGTATTTAATTATATTTTATACAGTATTATGTTTTTAAGTAAATAGGCAAATAAGCTAAACAAATTAAAATTGATTTAATATTTAAAATATATAAACTATAAAATAATAAAGTTTAAATATTTTAATACTGTAATATAGTGATAGTCTATCACTGATAGAATCAATAAATATATTTTTAAATGTTATTATCTCAATAATGTATAATAATCTCATTTTTAATAAATTGAATTTTCAATTCACTGATGATAATTCACTGATTCACTTGTGTTAATACTTTCTATTACGTTAATATTTACGATCTATATGATTTTTAATTAACCGTGATCTTTAAATAACCTTATATTAATATTTGACAACAATTAAACGATTGTTACCGAAACAATATTTATAATGTTATTTATTATACTGTATATCGGTTTTAATTCCTACAGTTTTATTATATGGTTTGTGATACTAATAATTAATGTGTTTCTCTTATCAGCGATTAATTATAGTATTATAAATCTCACTCATATAAACCATATACAGTATAAATGATGTATACTTTATATCTATTCTTTACAATGATTTATAAAATTGTGTGATTTGTTTATTCCTATCAGTGTTTAAGTTGTGTTGTCGTAAAGTGGTGTTAAGTTGACCAGTTTAAAATTATTAAATTTAACTTGTTCATATTTGATCTACGACCATTTACAAACATATCCATACATTCTTATTAGTTTATTATTATTTTTAAATATATAAAATAAAATACGAGTAAATAATTTTTTACAAGAATTTATTGATATTTATTACATTAAACTATTGTCTATAAAGTGAGCAAATATTGATATTTATATAAATAAATCTAAAAACAAATTAATAAAAGATTTAATTTACAATTAAAAGTTAAAAATGTAGTAAATTTTAAAAGTCTATCACTTCTCGCATCCAAAACCACTGCTTGGAAGAAGAGGTAGAATAACGTCTCATATATTCATATATAATATTAGTAAACGTTTGATACAATTTAAATGGCAATTGAGTGGTGACTACTTTTAAACGACACGAAATAGTGATACGCGTTGACCAGCATTCGGGTCCCGAAGAACCCGAAAATGACGGGCAGAACCCGATATGGACTCCAATGATGGGCGGGATCGACGACCAGCTATTGGTAGACAATAAAATGCAATAAAAATATTAAATTAAACGACATATTGACAAAATGGCTAAATTGTCTCACCTTTACCACACCTGCACGGGTCGTGTTTCTCCAGATAATGCTCGAGAGTATCCCTGAAATTAAAACAATTTTATTCGTTGTATTCTTCAGCAAATGTAATACATTTTCTCTTATTTATCTCTCGTTTTCTAAAACAAACTAACAGTATATTTATACAGTATTACAAATACCTAGGGCATATCTAATCATATAATACATTATATGTACAGTATATACAGTATTAATTTTCTAAATCTATTTGATATAACTTTATTACATTTACTTAAATAAATGTTTGTCTGAGTACTAAATAGAGTGAATGAGAGAAGAGAAGAGGAGAGGAGAGAGAGAGAGAGAGTGCCCTTCAAAACATTATTGAATAGTAAAATATAGTTTATTTGTTATAAATGTGTATTTCATAAGTACAAAGTTTAGTGCATCTAGC